TGCACCTGACATGAGCTTCAAGCACCTGGTTCTGGGACTTCAACTACAGTTGAACATGTGGGAGTCCAGTGATGTAACCATTACGCCATCTTCTGGTCATGAGGAGAAAGAGTTTTGAGAGAGGGGGGGGTCCTAGATATATCTGTGTGAGCAGGAGCCAAACACACCTGTTGGGGCTGTGGACAGGCAGGGAGCTGAGGAGACTCCACCTTTTCCAACCTAGGAGACTGATGAAGTGACTATCCTGGCCACCAGGCAGAGATGGGACCTGAGCTAGGGCAATTCTAGTGAGAAAAGGAGGGAGGCAGCATCTTCTCCTTGAGGCAAAGTCCTGAGCTCAGGTCCTGACAGGGACCTGACAGGTTATCTGGACATTGGCAGCTAAAGAAGCTTGGCCAGATACCAGTACTGAGATCTATGTAGTGTATAAACCTGAAGTTCCATTGAAAGAGTAGCCCTGGTAAAAGCTTTTAGGGAGAGGAGGTAGAGTACTTGATGTGGGTTCAGAGGACTGTTTGCATGGCTGTGCAGAAGCCTGCTATTGAGTTGATTGGTGGCCTTGCTCAGTCTCCAGGCCAGACCTCAGGGTTCCTGTCCAGGAAGTGCATCATCTGCTCAGGCCAGCATCTGCAGCCAGGACTATCCCTGGGGACCTTCCAGGGAATCTGCTCTGGCCGTTTCCATGCCCTGCTGTGCAGTCTTCCTGAAAGGGGAGAGATGGATGAAGGAGGCCACTCCTAAGTCTTGCTCTTCCCAGCCTCCTCTCCCCACATCCTCTTTGCTCTTTTCCACATCTCCTCTTCCAAACTCTGCCTCCTTCCATGGGCCTTCCTCCGCAGTCTCTGTTCAGACACTTCAAAGTGAGCCCACAAAACATACTTGTATTTTACAGTCTTGTAACTGCTGAAAGTTCAAAACCAGAGTTTAAAAGGCAGTAACTAATTTATTTTATTTTTAAATATTTTTGGTATAAGGGGTTTGTGCTCATAGGAGAGAGAGAGAGAGACAGACCGAGGGGGAAAGTGAAAAATTGCCCGTTTGGGGATGGTCACGCAGCAATTCTTCTCCTCCATTCTTCTCTGAAGATTCTTTTATGCATGCACATGTGCCTGGCATGATTTTCCATCCGTCCTGGACTGGAACAGGGGGGTTGGCCATGTGGGATCCAGCACTGTAACCACCATGCCACCTGATGGCATAGGCAGTAACCATTTTAGCTGGCTGTGAAATTCCTCAGAACTCTTGAGTAAATTTTTCTGTTGAGTAAAACAACACCCAAGTGTTCCCATCTAGTTGTCTTAAGGGGTCTTCCCCATAGAGTAGAGTCTATGCAGGAAGAAGGAGACTTACCCCTCAGAGCTGCTCAGGTGTGTGTGCACATGTGTGTGCATGCATGCATGTGTGCATGTGCAGTGTCTGTGTCTGTTTTGGTATTTAGGTAAGACTGCATAGCTTGTGTCTGAGATTGTAATAAAAATTATTGTTGGTATCTTGTAGGCCTCTATCATCAAATTACTAATATTTTAAGTTTTAAAATATAGATTTCAAAGTCAAACTTTTACCACTGAAAATCAGTAACATTATTTTTCTCTTTTTCACTTTCTTTACCTGCTCAGTCTTGTCATATTATTTTACCTGGCCAAAGGTATACCATTAAATCCTGTTTTTCTGAACTCATTCCCACCTTGGTGTTTTTTTAAATATGCAATTAAATACCCGAGTGAATGTCCTCAGTCAAGACATGTTGTGTGGAACTCTTTTTTTAACAGATTCCTCCTGATAGAATTAAGATATGCTTTATTAATATTTAATTCTGGTAAGAATGATGTTTTTACAGTTATCTTACATTTAGTGGTTGATTTTGAGAGGAATCTTTCCATAGGCTAAAATCTTAGACTCCCTATTTCTGTTTTCCTTTTCTTTAATTTAGAATAAATATCTACTACTCTGTGGCACCAACCAGGCACATTCCCATGTGGGTCTGCAACATAGAACATTGTATATTTCACTGTTGTGCCACCACTCACCCCGGCGATCACGTCTTTATATGTGCATTATCTCACTTAATTCTAAAAATGGTGACATGGCATAAAGTTAATCTCTAATTTTCAGATTTAAAAAAAAAGTAATCTCAAAGGAGTTAAGCATCTTGTACAAGGGAATTTTATCCTAGACTAGTTGGTCTACAGATTTTATTTTCTAGTCTGAACCACCTAATTACATGACCATAATATTTTTTAAAAAAAGGTATAATGTAATAGTGCCAAATTTGGTTAGATATGAGTGTTTTTTATTCTAATGATGTTTCTAGGTAATGAATTTCCGCTATGAAATTTATTATTAAGAAACAACAAATAAAATATACAAACTAAAAAAAAAGAAAGAATAAATATCTACTGTAATAGTCTTATTTTTAAATGTCCTAAGTTTACCTGAAGGAGAAACTAAAGTTCTGCTAAGGAATGGATGCATAGTTTGAGTGACTTAGTCCCTTTTGCAGGCTAAGATCCCCCTTTTGTGTTTAATTGTTCTTATACTTGTTACAGTTTTGGGGGATCACCATGGGGTGTCCTCTGATTCTGGAATTCTATTTTCTTTTACCAGGATCTTTAATTTCCACCAGCTGTTTCATTTCCATATGTCTCCAGAGGGCACTTCCTCTTTTTAAGTCTCCCTTCTCCCCAGAAATGCCACCTCTGATCCCTAGCACTGTCAAGTCCCTCTTTCAATTCCCCAAGAGGCAGTGCTCTGACCGACCAGGTCTCAGCATGTTTATCCACACTTGCTGTCCCTGAATGGCTCTGCCCATGTTCTGTCATGAATCTCCCCTCCCTCCTGTCCTCTCCTCTATTTGGATAGTGCTTGCTGCTACCTCTCCTGTTCTGTGGCTCCCAGAATGGCTAAAAGAACAATAAAGGTCTACAGCATTTTCTTTTCTCTCTGCTTGTTGGTGGGCAGTGATATTCTGGTAGTTTTGACTCTCTGTGTGAATCTCCAGGGCTTTGAAACATATGGTGAGAGATTCAGCTGCCTTTATTCTTGGTAGACCTGTACTCTTCCACACTACTTCGTCAGGTGTAGAAATCAAACAGATGAAGAAGTAGAGGAGAGCATATAATAGAGAAGCCTCATAGTCATTAGTTCTCTCTCACTATAGAACCCTCATATTCACCTTATATGATAGAGAACCCTCAGGATCACTGAAGATTCAATGACCTTCAGTGTATGGCTTTAAAAACACAATCTTTTCCACTTATTTTTTTCATGTATATCCTATTGTTGAATATATTGGTTGTCTCATGGCAGATAAAATGAATATCATCACATACATTCCATGTATTAAAGAAGATACGTGCAAACTTTTTTGTTTTTGTTTTTGTATTCGATTTTGCCATAGAGCTCATGCGCTCACTGGAGAAAGACACACACAGAGCAAAAGAGAGTGAGAAAGCACCCTCCAATGGGCATGGCCATGCCACATTCTCTTCTCCAATTCTCCTCTTAAGATTTGGGGCATGGGATCAGCAGTTAGCATAATGGCTATGTCGCTGGACTCCCATGTAGTCGACTGAGGTTCAAGTCCAGGACCTGGTGGCTTAAAATCACATCAGGCACGTGTGTGTGCATGCCCAATACCCCGAGAAGAGAATGGAGGAGAAGGGATTGCGGCATGGCCGTCCCCCCTGGGGGGTGATTTCTTGCTTTCTGTCTCTCTGTCTCTCTCTGTCTGTCTGGCGAGCACACATGCCCTATAGCGAAAACCTCTCCAAAAAAGAAAAAAAGAGGGCATCCCTTATAGATGAACTCCAAGCATCCCAAGACAAATAAAGAACAAGATAAATAAATAGAGAACAAGAAGAATGGCTTCAAGGCTTTATCTCCTCCAGGAGGAGATACTGAGAGAGACAGGGAAAGGATGACTCAGATGAAATGGATGTGAGGGCTTGAAAACTTATTTTTAGAAAAATATGAGCAGAAGTGGATCTTTGTGAAAAGGAAACTGAGGACATGAAAATAAACTGTATAGAATATTATAAAAAGAGACTGATTTCTGCAGTTTATATATAAAGTTATCTCTTATTTGAAAAGAAGAAATAAAGCTGAATATAATTGGATATGTCAGAAAATTGGCTTGTGGAGTCACTAGTTACACTGTTACTGAATGTTTGTTATAGGTAATTTGATTTGATGATGGATGTTGAGAAGAGAGAGGAATATAAGCAGATATAACCTTTCTGAGGATGCAAAGAAAGATGGGGTTCAGAAAAAGTGGATACCATAAAAACTTCTCTACCTCAGGGACCAGCAGTTGGTATAATTGCTACATAAGGGTGTTACAGCTGTAAATAATCTAGTAGAGGTACTAATCCCTTAATGGAAATGTGTGGGCCAGAAGAGCTACAGAATTAGGATTTGTGATTCTTAGGGAAGTAATGCCAGCATAATTCTGATATTATACATCATTTCAGTGGGGTCTAGGAAACACCTTCTTAATAAAAAGACAGAGAGAGAAAGAGAGATAGAAATCAAGAAATCATCCCCCCCAGGGGGGATGGCCACGTCGCAATCCCTTCTCCCCATTCTCCTCTTAGGATCTTGGGCACGCATGCACATTGCCCGGCGTGAGTTTAAGCCACCGGGTCCAGGACTCGAACCATGGCCGACTACATGGGAGTCCAGTGACATAGCCATTATGTTAACTGCTGGTCCCGAATATCATGGATTTTGACATGACCCTAACCCAACGTGGGAAATGCCCCGTTATCTCCTCTGCCCACAACACTGTCACACAATACATAAATTAGCTTCCTATTCCTCTTTCCTTCCATCCCTTGGAAGAGCAAACATTGGTTTCCAGAATCAGTAATGACTGTGAAGCTCCAGATGGGAGGAAAGGCAAAGCCTTGCATTTCTGTCACAATAATTGAATTGCTGATCCAGCTGCAGTTGCAGACAATTGGTCACTTGGAAGCTTGACTACAACTGCTTGTGAAACTTACAGATCTGATATATGGTGGCTCGCATCCCCACTCAAAGGTTCTTGGTAACAGGTCTCCTGGTGGGAGCAGAGAGAAGAGGACTTAGTAGGAACTATCCCAATTTTCCCTTTGCTGAGCATTCCCAGAACCATCTATGATGTTCCTGCCCATCAGTGAAACCACATAGTGACTCAGGCCACAAAGCTAGACTCCATGTGGAAGGGACCAGCAGTTGGTGTAATGGCTATGTCGCTGGACTCCCATGTAGTCGACTGCCATTCAAGTCCTGGACCTGGTGGCTTAAACTCATGTTGGGCACGTGTGCGTGCATGCCCAAGATCCCGAGAGGAGAATGGTGGAGAAGAGATTGCAGCATGGCCCTCCCCCCTTGGGGTGATTTCTCACTTTCTGTCTCTCTGTCCCTCTCTGTCTTTTTGGCGAGCGCACACGCCCTATAGCAAAAACCTCTCTAAAATTAAAAAAAAAAAAAAAAGATGAATTTGTGGGACTTTTTACTTCTGTTTCATCTGTACCAATACAGAAAAAGGTCACCTGATAAATGTAACATGAGCAGTCTCCTTACATAACGTATACTTGTTGAGAAAAAGCAGAAAGTGCAGATGGTAGAATGATTGTAAGAAGAGCTTTAGACTTTTCTCCCCCCAAACGCCCAGTAATTCTGGCCTAACTGAAATTAAAGTCAAAGAAAACAGAGCACATTTAATTAAGTTTTACTCTTAATAATCTGTAAATTATGTTTGAAACATAAACAGACATGTGAGGGTTCTTCAAGATGTTGGACATAAATCTATTTTCATAATTTAAAAGCATACTTTGATTATGAATCTATTTTTAATGAGCTTTGACTATGTATTCTTTTCTTCCAGATGTTTGGTGTTGTATAGACAGCCTCCATCTCTCTTTATATGATTTAAAACATAGAGTATATTTATTTTACAAAATGGGAAAAAGTACAGAATTCAAATGGATTATGGGTTTATATAATGATGAATAATTGCATCTCATAAAGTCCAACACACAACAACTATTAAACTGATGAAGGTTCTCTTACTATTTTGCAAACCTAGAGCATTTTATCTTAATGTTTATTTATTTATTTCTTCTATTAGAAAGGGAGACAGAGAGAAAGAAAGATAGACAAATCCTCCTACAGGTCTTCATACTGTAATCAAGACATGATCTCACTTTCACCCCAGCCTCAGCCAGTCAGGATCACTCACAGGCATGTGCAAGCCCAGCATCTCAGTGAGACCCCACTTGAACCCAGAGGGCTTTGAATTGACAGATAAGGTCAAGCTAACATTGCTTACTATTATTCTTAGTCCTCTATACTAGAGAGAAGGTTCTAAGAGGCTGCACATTGTGATAGACGAATTAGCGACCTCTACCCACAGAAAGCGTTTAGGAACAGAAATCTCCTAAAATGAAATGAGCTTGTCATTCATTTCATATTCTAACTTTTCAGTGCACTCATGTCTGATTGTGTCCATTTAGAGCTAGAGCTTTTATTATGTTTATTTTTACCAGACCGAAATAAAATTAAATAAAGGCAAAAAAAAAAAAAAAACCAAAGAATGAGCAAGAAGGATGGCCTCAGGGCTTTATTGTATTATAAGAAAAGTACCATCTTATTTTAATTTTTCAGGGATCTGGCTCCTTTTGGACTTCCCGTTCTTTACCATTTTTACTGCCTCTCTACTTACCTATCCACATACACATTTTATTGCTACATAAGGGTGTTACAGCTGTAAATAATCTAGTAGAGGTACTAATCCCTTAATGGAAATGTGTGGGCCAGAAGAGCTACAGAATTAGGATTTGTGATTCTTAGGGAAGAAATGCCAGCATAATTCTGATATTACACATCATTTCAGTGGGGTCTAGAAACACCCTCTTAATAAAAATTTATAGTCTCACAGAGAAATTAACATGTATTCTCATAAACGGGCTACTAAAGACCTCCAATAGCCTCATTCTAGTCCAGGTCAGCCTCAGAAAGGGGATTTTTTCCCCAGGGCTTGCTTCTCATTGCCTTGGGGTTGCTTCCTCTCTTCCTCTCAATACATCCTCATTCTCACCAAGATTTGTTTAAGTTTTCTTAAATATGCCTTTCATGGCGGCCAGCAGGTTGTGTGGTGGTTAAGGGTGAATTTTAGGGAGGGAGAACATACATTATGTAGCTTCAGAAAGAGTTAAAGCAGTAATAAAACCTTTGCTCTGAGTTTTGAACTTAGGGCAAGAGGCCTCTTAGGACATGTACTAAGGTCCAAGCTAACTGAAACTCAGCTTTGGGGTTTTAGACACAGGAACAGCTGAAAATAAATAGTTACATAAAGATAATAATAAGAAGAATTATTATTTAGTTCTAACTTTATGACATATCATTTTTATATTTACTCTTCACAACAACCTTATAAGAGAGGAAATGCTTATTATTCTCTTTTTATAGATAAAGAAACACAGAGGCAAATAGAAACTGAATAACTTGCTCAGGGTTACCAAATTAATAGGTGGCAGAGGCAGAATTTAAATCCAGGAAGTCGGTTTTTAGGGACCGTGCTTACTTTGAAATGGATTATTAGCTAGAAGTGCCTCATGGTCTTATCTATTCTGGGTTCCCTGGGGAGGAATGCCTGTCATTCTGGTTGACAGAATTCTATGTTTCTGACCTTAATATCATCTCAAAGCACTCCCATCTAGTCCTCTAACCATATCTAAAGTGAAATCATAGTTTTCTCTATTTTCCTAATATTGCTTCCATCAGAAAATGGCTTTTAAGTCACCGAGTTTTAGTTGAAAACTTTGGAGGTACCTTTCAATCCTGCCATCTCGTTCATTCCCATATCTATTCTGTCAAAAGGTCCTATGAATTCTTCCTCTTAATAATCTCCTGATGAGGGCCAGCAGGTGGTGTGGTAGTGAAAGTGCTGGACTCCCACAGGGCCAACTGTACATTTCAAGTCTCAAACCAGGCAGCTTGAAAATCATGTCAGGTGCATGGTGTGCATGCCCAAAATCCCCAAGAGGAGAATGGAAGACAAGGGATTGTGGTATGGCTATCCATCCGAGGTGAGTCCTCACTTTCCCTCCCTCTCTGTCTCTTTCCATATTGTTAGTACTTTAATCTAACTCACTGTGACCCATGACATGAAGCTTCACTTGGGAAGGATAGATATTTTGAAAATGCAAATCTGATCATACCTCACATCAGCTTACAGCATTTCCTAGAGTTATCATTGCTCTTAGATTCGGAAATCATTCATATGTGTAATATTGATGTATATATCAATAAGTTGTTAGCCTACGATTACAAAATTAGGTCACACTGTTTCTTAAAAGCTTTTCCAATACAATAATATCTTTAAAAAGTTTTTGTTCTTACCTGAGACATATTTTCAAGTCAATTCCAGTTTAGAAGTGACTCTCACACTGCATCAGAAATTTCAGGACACCAAAAAATAGAAACAGATGAAAGGGATTCATTTATTTCCTATTAAGGGTGATGCCCAGAATAAAACCCATGTTGCTTACAGCCCTCCCACTAAAACTAGAAAATTTCACGTGTCCATGTGGCCCCAGCTCCACATCGTGGTTGAGCTCACAGGAAGGATAAAGAACTGAGAGCGGGACCTGTGGTCTAGAGCTGAGAGTCTGTGGGAACGTTCAGCACCATAGACTCCAGCAGTTAACAGTCCCAGTGGATAGTTCCATGTGTGGCTCCACCATGATATCTATTCTCAGTTCTCTACAGCTTAACCATAACATGAAGTAAACACTAGCCCCTGGTCTTGGCAGGGGGAAATATCTAATGAACTTAACAAAGAAAGTCTTTCTTTAAACCCACTAAGATTAGAAAAAAGGCTTGTCAAAGGGTGAAGCATCAGATCCCCTGACCAGAGGGGTGGTTTTTAATAACTTCCTAGGCACAATTTTATTGAATAGCTACCCTTGCATGGTAAATGAATATCTTCGGCATGTCCAGACAAAGGCTGTAGATTAATATTCTTATTCACATAAATAAATAAAACTGTTAAAAGCAGGGCCTTGAGAGTTAAACGCCTCAAGAGATATCTTGACTAAGAATACCATACTGAATATTATTTTCTGTCAGAATTTTAAAGGCATTAAATTCTTTAAAGGCTTTGGTTTCGGGAACCAGCAGTTAGCGTAATGGCTATGTCACTGGACTCCCACGTAGTCGACCGCGATTCGTATCCCGGACCCGGTGGCTTAAAACTTACACCGGGTGCGTGTGCGTACGTGCCCAAGATCCCAAGAGGAGAATGGAGGAGAAGGGATTGCGGCATGACCATCCCCCCTGGGGGGTGATTTCTCGCTTTCTGTCTCTATGTTTCTCTCTGTCTGGCGAGCCCACTCGCCCTATAGCGAAAAATATCTCTCCAAAAAAAAAAAAAAAAGGCTTTGGTTTCTGGCAGTCAGCATGACTGGTGAAAGATCAGACAGTTTAATGCTTTTTCCTTAGCAAATAAATATTTTTTTAAACCTAGAAGCTTCTAGATCTTTGATCCGTGGTGTTCTGAAAAATCAGGATAATGAGTCTAGATGTACAGGATTTAACTTAACTTTCTTTCAGAATGCTATGACTTCATTACATAAGCCATCCTTTTTCCTCTGTCAAATTTCTCATGCTTTTGGTTCCCATATATGTTTGAATTTTTCTTATATTTTCGTCCTTTTGTAATGATTTATTTAATATTCTTTTGTGAATGACTCACTACGTTGGTTAATTCAATGTCCATTTTTGAAATCCATTATGGCACATTCTTCCTTAGTATTCTTTTTCAGTGTTTTATTAACATCTTGTTAATAATCATTGCACATTTATTTTTCCATATTAATTCCGGAAGTAACTTAGATCCAAAAAGAAATTCTATTCAGAATTACATTGTACATAAATCCTTGGGAAAGGTTGATATTTTATTAATATTAATGTCTTCCTGTTGGAAACATGACTTACCTTTTCATCAAACAGTGTTATAGGTCATAATTCACAGTCTATACTTTTCTCATGTGAGTCTTGTACATTTCTTGTTAAATTTCTCCTTATTAGTTAATCTTCTTTGACTTTTATTATAAAAACGTTTTTCATTTTTGTTAGTGATTACTGACAGTATATTAGGTGGTTGCTTATTTATTATTGTACTTCCTTTCCTTAAATCTCTTTATTAAATTAATTTGTCAGTTTTAATAGTTTTACAGATTTGTAAATTTATTTATTTATTAAATAAATGTCAAATAATACATTTTTCCATTTGATAGAAATATTGTATTTTGAGCAGCCAGAAGGCATGAAAGTTACAGTGACTGGATCTCACAATGGCACACTTCGTGGTTCAAGTCCTTGACCCAGCAGCTTGAGAAACATGATCCATGCATATGAACACATGCCCAAAAATCAAAGAGGAGAATGGGATTGTTGTGCGGCCACCCAACCCAGGGGGTGATTTCTCACTTTCCGTCCCTGCTCCCTTTCTCTCTCTCTCTCTCCAGTGAGTGCACATGCCCTATATCAAAAGCTAAAAACTAAAAAAATACATAAAGCTCTAAACCAACATTAAGTAGTTAGAATTTTAAGGAATCCTTTCCATTTATAACAACTTATTTTACTGCCTTTTAAATAGTTTCTGCTAACTACACTATCACAATTAAGGAGTGGTTTTGTATTTGTGTTTTACATAATATCTTTTATTCAAGATTACAATAGATATTTTCTTTTGAGTACAAACAGTTCCAAAATGGTTCAGGGGGACTGAACTTTACTGTAAGCCTGCCTTAATTTGGTCTTTAATTAGAAGAACTACATGCTAAGAAATAGGGGGCTGGGGTGGATGACATTGTAGGAAGAGGAGCCTGGGGTAAGATGAGAGGACAGCCTGACAAGGACCAGACTGAGAAATGCGGGCTGAGACAGGCCCTCCTGCCCACAGCAGTGTGTAAAAGAGCCAGAGGCATGAGTCCTTGAGAGTGAAAAACATTCCTCCTCTCCTCTGTTCTGCTCAGCAGTGTGGCAAGCCTAGGTCCAGGTATCCTTCAGCACACACTCAAAAAAAGACCTGTCTCTACAAGCAAAAACTCCAAATCCATGATATTTTAACACTTTGCCCATGGAGACTGCTAGGGCTATCTGTACACTATGATGGAATGCAGTTTTCAGATTAGCACTATTAAACCGTTCTAGATCCCACCGAACACTAAGAGACTGCACACTAACAGAACTAGAGTGACCCACAGAGTGACCACAGCAGCAAAAATGTCTCTCCAAGGGGCACTTCTTGAAATGAGCTGTTCATAAATTGTGTTGTCACCATTGATAATACAAGTTGGGGCACAGGTGCATAAGATCACACTGATCAAGTTGAGGGAGGTGGAGAGGAAAGCTGCCAATCACTTCGTTTCTTGGGATTCTGAGAGGGACAGCAGCACGCAGGAAACCATGATAGTTCTATGACACTCATTCTGTTCAGAGCTTTGATGTTCAGAAAAGCCATTCTTTTCAGAATACCCAAAACTTGATCACAAACTGAAGGGTAAATGACTACTAGGGAAATAAAATGCACTAAATTGTCTCCATAGCATGGATATCATTTATTTGCTGATCAAAGTGTGTGGGAAATTTTACGTAAAAAAACAATTTAAGTGAGAGAAGAATGAAGAGTCATTTGGATAAATGATAAGCTCCTTAAATGAAAGAGCCTGTCTTCTTGAGTTACTGTGGATTGCCTGGTTACTTTTTTGGTTTCCTGATATTCTTTGCTTTGAATTGTTCAGCATTAATTGGGGGGGAGTCTTTTTTGGGTTTTATCAGTTTCCTATCAAATCCTTGAAAGACACAACAATCACTGAGATGATTAAGAAAATAAGACGCATTACCATAATGGATACAACCTGAACTGAGGAGGGCAACTGCACTTTCAGCGGTCCTGGAGGCCCACTGTCAACGCTTCCTCCATACCCCACCTCTTCACAGAATGGAGGGGCCCAGCCATACATGCAGTGGCAGTTTTTTCTATTGTTGCAAACGCCTCTGCCATTGCACTTCTCAGGTAAACAGTCAAACTCCAGGACTGACACATTGACGCAACTTCTGTTAAAACATACCCGGTTCTTACCACAGGAGGTGCCGTCATTTATCATACCCATGTCAGGGATCCCCAGGGGTACCATGGCTAAATGGTAGCCTGTGCCCCAGCACCTGAGATTTTCTGCCTGCAGATGAGTAGAAATCAAAAGAGTATGGTCTGGCAAATCAGGGATGGTTTTGACATTTATGCACTGCAGCCTACCACATACTGAATTCTCCCTGGTACATTTTTTAAAGTTATGAAGTCCTATAATTTCACAGTTACCATATTGATCACCTATTAAATTAACTGCATCATAGCACTGATTAGGAGCCTGCTTGGCATCAGGTCCAAAAATGCTTTGGCACTGCATAAATCTAGATCTGCATCCCTTCCTGAAACAACGGGCTTTATATTTGCATGGCGTTCCATCCTGCTTATAAGTGTCCTTTGGGCAGTTACTTGAATTCCCATTGCAGTACTCTGCAAGATCACATTCATTTTCTTCCTGCCTGCACATATATCCAGACGGACGAACGCGACACTCAAGACAGACAAGTAGCACTGATTAGGAGCCTGCTTGGCATCAGGTCCAAAAATGCTTTGGCACTGCATAAATCTAGATCTGCATCCCTTCCTGAAACAACGGGCTTTATATTTGCATGGCGTTCCATCCTGCTTATAAGTGTCCTTTGGGCAGTTACTTGAATTCCCATTGCAGTACTCTGCAAGATCACATTCATTTTCTTCCTGCCTGCACATATATCCAGACGGACGAAAGCGACACTCATGACAGCAAAGTCCAATGCTGCAGTTGGCACCACGTTTCAACCTACAGTTTGATTGGCAACAGCGGTCTTTCAGACAGTCCTCTCTGGAACCACAATCACATTCCTCATTCTCTTCCACAATTTTATTTCCACAACTCCTTACCAGATAACTTATTCCAGGGATATTATTTAGGCAAGATGCTTCTGAATACGCGAACTTAAAATAATTCACAAAACTACAGTTACTCCAGCCAGTGCGTCCACTGCCCATTATGCAACTGTGCTCACCCTTACACTGACAATGTAGTTCATCATGCTTCATTCCCAAACCATGGCCCAGTTCATGAGTAGACCAAGTGCCAGGTGCAAGGACATTTAGATCTGGGAAAACGCTTGTTGATCCACCATACAGTTCACTGCACATTTTTCCAACAGGAGCCCATCCGAGAGCATCAGGAAAATTTCTTCTAACGTATAAATGTGACCAATCTGATGGAATCCGATCATTTAAGATATTTCTTTTGTATACAATAAATTGGTTAAGAACGTGAACTAAATTGGTTACATCAATAGTAATTTTGTCTTCATCTGTCCATATTTCAACAGCTTTTAGATGTATTCTCATATTGATTTCCTTAAAGTAAGTGTCCATAATCCCTGATAGAAGAATGGCATCACTTATGACTTGTGTAAGATTGGATTTTACATACAAGTATCTACTGTGATCAAAGACCAGAGCCAATTCCATATACTTAGGGTGCATATAGGATATGTGGAAGTCCCTTAGCCTAGCCATATTCTCATGCTGGGCTATCTGTTGTTCTATTTCATCATCAGGTAAGCCACAGGTCTGGTTGCTAAGATGCTCTTTCTTCAGGAGATATACAACATGTTCAAAACTGAAAGAGGTCTTGAGGGGCTCAATTTGGTAATGTTTGGCATCGATATTCAATATGCCTCGGAGACCCCCCATGCAGGAACTAAAGGTGGCTTGAGAGCCCTGAGACCCTTCGACCAAGCCCATGTAGTTGCAGTCCTTGGGTATATAAGGGTGGTCCTCCAGCAGATTTCCCTCTTTTGTGAAGGAGAAAACGTGTAGGTGTCGGGGCAACAACAACCTCTTGGGCCACAGGTGGAGGACGTGCTTCTTGCCTTTTAACTGTAAGAGGTAGGACACGGGACTAGCCACACCCTGCTCCCCTCCACGGAAGCTCAGTCTTTTGGGAATGGTGACTTCATACGAGTCAAACCCCCAATCAGGGTGAAAAATTAATTCCTCCCCTAGAGAGTCAATAAGGAGCACCGCCAGAACTAGGACGGGGAGCGAGCGTCCTTGGGAGGCTAAGGTCCGCACTGACCTCATCGTCTGTTCCTTAGGCCCTGTTGCTTACTCAGTCCTTACAACTGAGGCCTCAGGCGTCAGATTTCCATGGACCGCCTCTAGGGGCGCCAGAGTGTAAAGTGCGAAGTTCCCTCTCCTGGGTTTAGGAGACCCCCACCTTCCAGGGCCGGGTCTAGCTGACTTTCAGACAGGCATACGCCCAGGGCAACTTACTTTGTTCGTTTTCTGGATGGTGCCGTTGGACGCACGTGGAAGAATGGAAGGAACATTCCGCGAGAATAAAAGAGAAAAGAAGGGCTGTTGGCACGTGGGACAGAGAGGAGCAGGGGGCAACATCGGGATGGAGAAGGAATAGAGAAATAGATACAAAAGCGAACATATTAAAAAGTCGTATCTGAACCATTTATCTGTGTCTGTATATCTCAGGATGCATAAGTCAGATCGCGTTTCTCACCTCAGGGAAGCTGCTTTGTCTTTCCCAGTTTTCCACTGGGCTCACTTTGCTTGCGGATGAAAGAAGGAGCCCCGGAACCCATAAGAGTAGGAAGAGCGCCTGGGAATATCTGTGTAGACGCTGCATCCCACCACCACCCGGTGCAGCCCCTCTGACTGCTGACTTCAGAGAAGGTTGCCAGGCTCAGGATGTGAGCCAGGGTGAGAGTTCGTTTCTGAGCTCATTTTTCCTGGTGGTTCTCTCTGCTTTGTGTCCTTCGGGTGCCATGGAACAGAATGATTTCTGTGTTGGGTTGCAATGGTGTTACAATTTATAATGTGTCTGTTAGAGAACAAAGCCCAGGATATTTCAGAGAAAGGCACTTAGTTGATTATGTCTGTGGTATAAGGGATGGATGAGGCACAAGGCAGCAAAATAAGACACACACACACACACACACACACACCCCTCAGACAACAGTCTTATTGTACATGGATATGGCAAATCGCAGGGCTAAGGGGAAGCTCTGAGGAATTCTGCCAGAAGAGGGGTATTTTCAGTGTTGTTTCTAGGAAATTCAATCTGACTGTGTTACAAGGTAAAAAGGGAGGAGGCTTTAATCAGGGAAATTAGTTAGGATGCTCTCATATCAATCCAGACAAGGGATGTTGTCTGTTGGCAGAAATGATAGAACTGGGGCTGATAATAAACCAAATTTTGAAAAACTTACTGTGTGTCAGACACTGTCCTAAGCTCTTTGAATGAATCAGCCCATTAAATTTTCACCTTGGCCACATGTTGCATATCCTACTACCATCCATATTTTACATAGGAAACCAAAAGCATACCTTGACTCAGATGGTGATGGGGACTGATGCAATTTCTGTACACATTTAGGATTCAACTCAGAGCCTGTGTCCTTTAACAGTCAACACTCCGGGAAAGGACACACGTTGACAACTTCAAAATACATGATGCAATGTAGACTCTGCTGGACTTAATGTTCTAATGGATTCTCCCAGAATGAAAGAAGCAAGAAATATAAAGAATGTTTATTTTCTGGGGTAGGCATATGCATCTGTCATGGTTTCTACTACCCAAAGAAGGAAAATGTCAGAAGTAGATTGAGGTAAGGGGAAGATGCATGCCAAGCTCTACTTTGCTCAGGAGAAGTATTGAAGGAGAGCTTTCTAAACTGCAGTCAGGGGGAATGAGCAACATCACCTGGTTGTGGAACAGAATGAAGCCACAAATGCTGAAGCTGGTGCCTGAAGGGACTGTGTGAAATTGGAGAAAGAGGCCAGACCGGAGCCTTCATGAATACTAGAATTCAAAATGAGGCTGAAAAGGCTTGCAATGCCCTGCAAAACAGCAGATATCTACTAAGAGAGAAGTCAGGACAGAACACAGAGACAGAGCATCTCACTAATGCTTCTACTTGTGAATTGCCGAACAGAATTTATCAAAGGGGAGGTTGTAGTGACTTTAGTCCCAAGTGGTTCAGGGAACTACTGATGAGTAAAGTTAGTTACCAGGAGGTTGGAATAGAAACTGGAGGTTAAAAAGGGGAGATGGCACGTAATGACTTCATCTTTAAGAAACTGGAGGTGAAAGACAGAGAAGAGATACGGAAGTGGCTGGAAAGGACTGTGTGGTACCTAGGGCAGTTAGAGAAAAAGGTCCTGACTATCTTTATGTGCCAGTAGAAAAGTCACTCCATAAAACCCCGTTCAGCCTCCATGGAGAATGATTGATGCTGCAGGAGATCCCCCTCAGGAGCAGAGCTTGAGTTCAGTGTGCAGGGAAGATGAAATGGCAGGCATTGGAGCTTCAGTGGACTGAGATGGAAAGAAGGGAGGGCCAGTCTGCAGGCTTCTGTTTTGTCTGTGAAGTCAGCAGTTGAGGGTGAGGGATGGGAGGTGAAGACGATGAGCGAGAACACTCAGGAGACAGGTGACTCAGAGGAGAAAGGGAAGTACCACCAATTGAGTTGAGTTCCTGGTTCAGGGTAGAAGTTAGACATTGCAGTTCCCGAGTGTGTCTATCTCCTGGATTTTTTTCAAACAACACCCAGCAGCCTAAATTGAGGAGGGTGGTTGGGATCTCTCTCCTGCATGTATTATCTTCATTTTCCTCTGTACTATTTCTTCTTAGACTGATGGAGAGTTTTTTGAGGAAAGACACTAATTCATCAGTTCCCTCTGCTACATCCGGTCTGAGTGCTGAGCTGTGTAGCATCTGCATGTCAGACACAGAGCCTTGTGGAAATAACCTACTGTTACACACTTTTCTTTATTTACCAACTTACATATGTACATCATAAAGATGGAAATATCCCTCAGTAATGTAGAGCAGCGAGTGAATGCCTCTCTGACCCTCTTATGCCTCTTGCCTCTCCAGTACACTCGCAGCACTGGATGGAAGTTATAATTCTTTCTCCATGTTTTGATGTCTTTAGAAGTATAGAAATTATGATATATTTTAAATAGCTCCATACTTTATTGTCTTGATACTTGAAGTTTTTCTACTAAAAAATTGTAAAAATATTTCTAGGTCATTAATGTAGATTTAGGTCATTGCCTTTCATTGATTCATAGTACTCTATCATTAGCAACTAATCATTTATTTAAACATTTATCTTATGTGTAAATGATAAAGTTGTATAGTTCAAAATTTTTTCAGTGATATTGCTTATAAGAGTCATGGAGTGAGAAATAGAAATGCGACTTCATTCTTCTGCATTCAGAAGAATTCAAAACCTTTTTTATGTGATGTTTTATTATTTTTTGTTCTTTGGACAAATTATTTTAAAATGGACAATATTAAGTACAGGAAACAAGGTAAAAGTTTTAAGAATGAGATCTAGTTTTGAATGTTTTGAATTAGAATTCAAATTCTAGTTTAAGAATGTCTGGTTTTCTTAGCACCATTTATCAAGGAGATATGACCTTATGCAGTGTTAGAATTTGTACACCAAGGGATATATAGTATGTTAAAACATAGTATATTTTACAGGCATGTTAAATTATCTGTAGTAATAATTTTACTATGCATACGTATTGTCAAAACACCAAAAACCTTACATTTGTACAATAAAAGCAAGCAAAAAAAAAAAGGATAAGGAAAAATGGAAAAGAGAGACTCAAATAGAAATAAAGGTAAAATAAAATAATATTTACCAATGAAGGGAAGAGATGATTCTGACTCATTGTCTCTTGGGGGGACAAAATTGGGCAGTGGGGGCTATATGTGGTGCAGCAGTAAAATACAGCACTCTGTGAGGCTGACCTATACAGAAAGTTTCCAAATTATCACCCAGAGATTTTTATGAGTATTCTGGGTACACGCATGTCCACAATGTGGAGCTGATTGAATCTGGCAGTGAATCAATTATAAAATTATTTTACAAGTTTTTTATTGACTGAATTCTTTATCTCTCATTATATGAGAGAAATAAATAAACTTTAAAAATTAGTCAATAAAAAACTTATAGAACAATTTTTTTAGCTTCTTTTAAAAGTTTTACTCTTTACTTCCTCCTTGAGAGAAAAAGGAACAGGGAGAGAGAAAGTGAGAGGGAGAATGGGGCTCCCTCAGTGTCTTCACACCAACATCGTCCACAATCTCACCTGGCTCAGATCATGAGCACATGCTCAGAGTTATGCCCAGGACATTTCCCGTGAAGGATCAGTTACAACACCACTTTGCTAACACCTGGCCCTACCAAATGCATTTTCCTTTTCCTCTCTTTCTTTTTTTCTTTCTTTCTTTCTTCTTTCTTTCTTTCTTTCTTTCTTTCTTTCTTTCTTTCTTTCTTTCTTTCTTTCTTTCTTTCTTTCTTTCTCTTTCTTTCTTTCTCATTCTTTTTCTTTCTTCTTTTGCTCTTCTTTCTTTTTTTTTGTCTTTTCTTTCTGTTTTTATTTCTCCCAACAAATATTTTTAAATGCAAAGTTAAGTGGACTATGTACAAGGAAATATAAATCTTTATGTGATATTTTATTCTTTTTTGTTCTTTGGACAAATTATTTTAAAATGGACAATATTAAGTATATGAAACAACAAAGGTAAAAGTTTTAAGAATGAGATCTATAAAAAATTTCAAATTGTTCAGCAAAATAGTAAAAGCTATTGCATACTTACATAGACTAAAAGAGAAACCAGTAAAACTTCAGAAATAAATTCAATGTGAAAATTCATGAAGTTTTATTTAAAGGAGTAACCACTAGTCAAAGTAACAGAAATATGGATATTTTAGAAACAAAATCACTAAGTTAAAAAAAAGGAATTTGAAAAAACTGAGAATCTACATACAAAAGAATGAAGCTGGATCATTACTTATACAAAAGTTAAGTCATGAAAAAAAAAAAAAAAAGTTAAGTCATGAGAGATTAAACACCCAAGTGTGAGATCTAAAAGGATAAAACCTTTAGAAGAAAACATGGGGAAGATTTTTTAGAATGGATTTCTTGGATATAATGCTAAAACACACAGACAGCAAAAGTAAAAATAAATGAATTGTACTATAATCATATGCCACATCATTTCCTTTCAGCCCACATCTGAACACGGATACAATGGTGACCGCTTAAAATTATAATATACCACCGCCTAGGTGTGTAATATAGTATCTAGGTTTGTATAAATAAAATCTATGTTTATTTCTTAACATTAAAATCGCCTAATGACACATTTCTCATAACATAACCCATTGTTAAGTGAATATAATTGTACATCAAAATAAAATATTCTGTGCATCAAAGCATAAAATCAACAGAACGAAAAGGTAACCTGCAGCATGGAAAAAGTATTGTCAACTCA